AGTGTCCTGATTTCCTTGTACTAAATCCTTAATAGAAAACACTTTGCCATTATATTTAACCACTTGTGCATACTTATAAGCATTCTGATTAATACAAACAAAATCCTATCCTAGTTATCTTCACGCTCTTCAAATCATGAAGATAACCTTGGTTGAACACATTGAATCACTTCTTTAATTTCTTAAACTTCATCTAGAGGGTTGAAACATTTCAAAACTCTAAGTTATTGCACATAGAAAACAGTTGATAATACAAAACGAGCACCAACCAACTCAGGTGTTTGTCATCACTTCAAAACCCCAAGGAACCCAATACATTCCTTTTAAATGTCAAATAATTTTGGAATCACTTTTCATCCAATTCCAAACTATTTCTTTTTTGAGCTTCTGTTGTCACTGCTTTTTCAAGAGCTTTAGATTGTTCTACGAAATCAAACTATTTGTAGTTTATCACTATCTTGAGTTTAATAAGGAGATGACATGTGTCATTTCTGATTCGCTTGTAGCCTTTTAGAGTATAACTATAAATTTTTGTTCCCTTATATCCCTTGCTTTTACATACCCACTGACGCAATATTTTCATTAATTCAAATCAATCACATAAAATTTTGTGTTATTCAAAATGTTGCAATTTATCTATTGCGTATTTAAAAGAAAAAAACTTCCAAAAATTGTAAAAAAAATTTATATACACTCGAGTGCAAAGTGCACACAAGGGTATTTTTTACATACTCATTTAATAATTTTTTTTTACTCATGTTAAAATCTTAATATGAGAATAAAAAAAAAATCAAATGAGCAAAAACTACCCTTTAAGTGTACCTACCTTTATATACACTCGAGTATATATATAAAAAGGTGTTGCAAAAAAAAGGGGGTGTGCTATACAGTACTCCCTTTGTTTCATAATAATCGCAACACATTCCTTTTATGTCAGCTTTTATAATAATTGCAACACTTTTGTTAAAGTCAAGAGAGGTTGGGGAAAAGGGCTTAGCCTAATATTCATATTTACGACAATATATATAGTACAACATAAAGAGACCTAACTTGCCTAAAATTCCTAAACGATATACATGACAAATATACCAAATATACAATAACCAACCGACTTCAATTCTAATACTCCCCCTCAAGTTGGAGCATGCAAATCACGAATGCCCAACTTGCGTAACAAAAACACAACTGTTGTCGTCCAAAAGCCTTCGTAAGAATATTGGCCCAACTGATGATTCGTCAGAACATATGAGGTAGAAATATTACCCTTCAACAACTCATCACTTACGAAATGGCAATCTACCTCAATATGCTTCGTACGATCATGAAATACCGGATTTCGAGCAATATGCAAAGTTGAATGACTATCACTAAACAATTGCATAGACTTCGAATGACCAACGAACTCCAAGAGAAAACAACAATGCTTTCAACCACTTCAACTCACAAGTAGCAACTGCCATAGAACGATATTCGGCTTCGGCCGAAGAGCGAGATATGGTAGGTGTAGACACCTGATTGTGTCTCCCCGGCCCAAAAACCAAACCCAGTGATGAGTACCTTTCACGTCTTTGATTAACGAGATTGGTAAAGAGTTGAAAAGTCTCGTAAATTTTCCTTAAGCCTTGACCATACCCCTAATCGTTCCTAAATTTTTTTATCCAAAATGATTTATTTCGTGTCTTTTAACCCAAAATAATTCATTTCGTGTCCTTTAAAATCGTTTATTTCGTGTCCTTTAAAATCATTTATTTCGTGTCCAAATCATAAAAACGTCCAAACCAGATTATTTTGGTCCATAATCCTGGTCCAATCATTGTTTAGTTGGATGGGGGCTTGAAAAAGCTTTCCAACGATATATTATAAGCCCAAACCGGACTTAGGTCCACCTTACCTACGATCCAATGATCATGTGAGGGTCCAAATACCTTACTCTTAATCCTAAACCCATTAGGAATCCTTAGGAGCTTCTAGAATCGTTCCGGAAAAGATAAAGATCAAAAGAGTTTGAAGCCGAATAAAACTTCTCTTTTAATAGTCCTTATACCGATCAAATTCAAAGACGTACAGATGTATTTTGTTAACCTAATTCTAATGGAAATCAAACTCCGCACAACCTTTTTATCTTTAGAATCGTCGCAGGATGAAAGAACCATCGCGCAGCAATAGTTTTATCGCGTCACGATAGTCCTATCGCGCCGCGATGGACTTTGTCGTGCCGCGCTCTTGTCGCCCCGCGACGAAACCTATTTTATTCCGATTCAAAATTCTGATCTTTTCTGATCGTCCAAACTCTCTTTTTTTCCTGTAAATAGAGGACGTTTTCCTCGTTTTTAAATCAGCTAGAACCATCAATCATAAGCTATAACCACTTAGCTCCAATCATCATCAATCATCCATGTCCTTAGCCTAAACACATCCTTGATATTCTCACAAATCATCCATAATACCTCCTTCGCGAGATTCTAATACTACAAGCCATCCTCGACGTTGCCTTCGACCTCGGCGTGAAATGTTGATAGTTTTGAAGGTTTGGTCCCAAATCTATATTTCGATTCACATTTGATTTATTTACTTTATTGATTTAACTTTTTTGAAGTTTACTAACGTGTGTATTGTTTTAATAGCAAGAAGGTTGAGGCATCAAAGTGAGTAATTCAATTACCCTTATTATTATTATTATTATTATTATTATTATTATTATTATTATTATTATTATTATTATTATTATTATTATTATTATTATTATTATTATTTGATTTTGGAGTAGAAGCATGTTTACAATATTATTTTAATTCCTAGTATCATGTTAGGAGGTCTTTAATTACTAGTGTCATGCTTAGAATGTTTTTATGATTTCTAGTATCATGTTTAGGATGTTTTTATGATTTCTAGTATCATGTTTAGGATAATTCTTTGATTTTGATTATTAGTGACATGCTAGGATTTGTTATTAATCCGTTTAGTATCATGATTAGGATCTTACTAATGATGTTTTGATGATGTTGTTATGATGATGATTGTTGTATTAATCATATGTTGCTTGATTATTCATGATTTATTGCTATTGCTTGATCATGCCCCTTTTTGCAGGATTAAAGGGAATTTGTATTTGAAATAACGCCTAATAAGATAATTAATAATTTGATTTAGGCTAATATGATTTTTATTTAAGTGATCACCAATAATACATTTGATTGTGCATTAATAATCAACCAACGTAGATTAAAAAGGTTTAAGGTTAACTTGATGTATGTATATTGATCGAAAAGCGCACATGAATATCAAGAATTGAGTAGAGGCCTATTTAGGATGGGTTCAACTCTTTTAGGTTGGGTTCATACTTTCATCCTCGAACATCGAGTCATGGTTCCAGACAACTGTGGAGTTAGCGATCTTCGTGATCGTGAATGGGGTGTAACCTTCACACTCGTGAACGGTTTACAAGTTTCTAAAACTTGTTGGCGACTCTTTTATCTCTAGCTTCTTTTCCTTGGAACGCCGCTGTAGACATCTACTTTCGGTCCCCAGTCCCGACCGGATGTGCTATGACGATAAATAATTCCATCTTTGCGTTGGATTGGAGTAAGGAATGCTTATGGACTACTGATTAAGGCCTAAACACATAAAACTAACTAGCTTGACCCAAACGAAATGAACCAAATCTCATTAACACTAAGCCCGATCAAAAATTAGGCCTAATCCCGAGATTAAACCTAATTTCAGACGGATTTAGAGCGCCTAGGTTAAAATCTAGGGCTGCCGCGGGAAAATTTGCGCGCAACTCAAGGAGTCGCGATGCTTGGCGCGTGCAACTAGGTTGCACGCGGCATCCAGCGCAACCCTTGGAGATGCGTTCGCGGAAGATTCATAATTTCATTAATATATTGAATCGAATCTTACCATAAAGCCACGCGCAAGACCTGAGGTTGTGCTGCTCAAATCACTTGCGCATAGCAGCCGCGCACAACCTTCTGAGTTGCGCGTGCCAATTGCTGCAGCAAAATCTCCAAAACCCTAAACTCACTCATTCCCCTATAAATAGAGGTTTAATACGAGCTTTGAACAGACAGAAAATTAGCCTAAAAGTCTGCAGTAACATCTTTGTGAACATATGCAATAATAAACCCTCTTGTCCTAAACACTCACCCTCTAATTGTTTTGTTCTCACGGTGGAGGTTCCCCAACAAGAAGGAGTCCATAAGTGTTCTAAACGAAGATCTAGCAAGAAAAAGTGGTAAATTCCCGAGCACTTAGATAAATCACATTAGTTTTCTTGTCCTAAATAACTTTAATAAATTAATTAGTGTTGTTTGATCACTTTAAATAAACTTTAATTACACATAGTATTCTTGCGTTAACTAAAGACTAGAAATTGAATAATCAATTTATCGTTTTATCACCTAAGCCAAGGCGAATCTTGTTTACTTATTGTTCTTTTCTCAAATTTGGAATAAATAAGAATAACGACAATCGTTGCAATGTAATCTTTATGTGATTGATGCGTGTAAATAAAATCAACTAACTTAGTTTTAGGTACCACGTTGCATATATTGTTTGGTGATGAAATTGTGAAAAAGTAAGATCTAGTAGAGGGCGCACTTTGGCTAGGATAGTGATTCCCCCTAAAGGGAACGTTATTTTAGTACCCTCGCTCCCGAACTCATTTCTGGTACAAGTAGACCAATTTGGACATGGGTAAACTTATGTTTCATGCTAAATATCCCTTGAACTCTACTTGGGAGAAAGGAATGAACGAGGTTCATCCCCAAGGTCTATCCCCAAAAATGGCAAGTTGATCTGCTTTGATCAAGGAAAAAGCCCAATTAGCGCAAAACCTTACCAGCCCTTGACATATGAACAATTTTCCTAATACTCATTGGAGACTCCCTATTAGTTTCTTACAAAAAAGCGTAATGATAGAATCAATTCTAATTCAAGGTCCCCTAAACAGTCAGGAATTCAAATCCTAACACACCTTAAAAAGTGTAAAGTCCTAGGCTTTAAAAGGCCATGGGCATAGAGGCAGTGGGATCCCCAACGACGGGCACACCCTCCTCACAGCCGCCATGCCTAAAAGCATGAACCACAGTAGGGCTCAAAGATGAGTTGGAAAAATTCCCTACATTAGGTTGTTTCTTAGTCTTCCAAGAAATAGGCGAACGACCTAGGAAAACAAGATAATATGTCAATGAACGTTGAGTTAATGGACACGCTGCCCAATCACTATCACAAAACGTCGTCAAGCGTAAATCTTTCATAGGTCGTAACAGAATTCCTTGTCTCGGACTACCCTTGAGGTAGCACAAGACGCGAATATCTGCATCCCAATGAGAAACATGTAGATCACTCAAAAACTGAGCCAAAACATGCACCGAATAACTCAACTCTTGGTGATGGATTGACAAATAAACCAATTGTCCAACCAACCGACGATACTGATCCATGTGAGCAAACGGCTTACCCGAAGCATGTGCAAGTCGATGATTCTGCTCCATCGGAGTATCAATGGGTTTGCAACCCAACATACCTGCCTTAGTCAAGATATCCAAAGCATACTTTCATTGAGAAAGAAAGATACTGATGCGGGAGCATCCTTGAAACCTACGGGTTATATGGCTATATGATCCGTTTAGTGGCATTTATAGCTCATATCAATCAACTTTGGATGAATTCTCTTGTGTTATGATGTGGTTTCGGTGAATAAGAGATATCTTTGTGTCTTTATTTTACAAGTGATGGTTGAAGATCAAGCATGGAAACAAGGATGAGAAAGGAAAGCTTTTACTTGATTTACACCCCTTTTGAAAACAAGAATAAGAGAAACTTTTGCTCTATTTTGAAATCAATGAGATTTTCTCTCTCCTTAATCTTGGTGATTATTTGCTTTCTTTGTGATTTCCACTTTGTAATCTTTGTGGTTACACCTTAATCCTAGTGTTACTTTGTGTTGGCTTTGATTAAGAACCCCTATTTCATAGATCTTGGTGATTTTTGAGATAGGTTTATTTTGTGTTGTTGCTTTAAAATTGTTGTTAGTTGATTTTTTCCTTCTTTTCTTGGTTTTGTTGGTTGTTTCATATCAGATACCCTCCAGACTACGAGAAACCTCAATGCCTAAGAAATACTTTAGCACACCCAAATCCTTCATATAGAAGCATTTGCACAAATAAGCTTTAAACTGAAAAATGACATCATGAGAGAACCCTGCAATAATCAGATCATCGACATAGACAAGAACATGCAAAGATACACTTCCATGTACATAGTTAAATAGAGAGTAATCAACATATGAGTTTTTAAACCCAAAATCTCACAAAGCACTAGACAGCTTTGAAAACCACTGTCTCGGGGCTTGTTTCAAGCCATGTAAAGACTTTTGCAACCTGCAAACTTTTCCAGGTGTCGGAGTACCGTACCCTGGAGGAAATTGCATATATACTTCTTCATCTAAATCACCATGAAGAAAAGCATTATGAACATCCATCTGATGTAACTCCCAATTCAAAGACATAGTAACTGTAGGCGTCATTCGAAGCGCGCCTACTTAAGCATGTGTGAATATGCTTGACAATCATAGGAAGTGGGAATAGACATGTACGATTAGGGACAATGATTAGGGACAAACAAAGTAGGGAGCCGCCAACAAGTTTTTAAAGAACTTATAAACCGTTCACGGATCATTTAAGGCAACCACGAGTAAGGGACAACGATAGGAAATAATGATTGACCCATGAAGGTTACACCCCATTCATAATCCATGAGATTACTAACTCCATATGGTTCAGAATCACAAAAGGAGGATTGGGGATGATGGTACGAAGTGAGTCATGGAGTCACATCCGCCCGTATTGGCATCTACTCAATTCTTATAGCGAAAAGTATTTTCTGTGATCTCAAAGGCATACAAACAAAGATTCAATTTGCTCCAAACTAAATTAGGCTAAATTGGTTTAATGTTAATATAACATATAATTCTAAATATCGTGATTGCTTCAATTAACAGCAAGATAAAAAAAGGTTCCTAACCGGTCGTCCAAATTATCTTCTTAGGCATCATATTCAGTTACATATTCCATTTAACATGCAATATGGTGATCAACAATAACAATAGAAGAACAATAACATCAGAAGCAATTTAAACATAAATCTAACAATTAACATATGACAAACATAATAAAAACCGTTATAAATATAATAGGAACAAAAAGAACATGATTCCTTACTTTGATTGCGTTTGCTTGCAACTATAAAACAATAAACACGTTAGTAACTTCAAGGAAAATAAATAATAAATTGGAAATTAATTCAACTATAAGTAAAGTTGATTTGGGGCCAAACCCTCAAACAATTCTACCTTTCACTCCTAGGTTTAAGTATAGAACTTCAGGTAAAGTACGGACTCCGGGGAGTGCTTAGGAGATGAATTGTGAAATAGGGAAGGCAAGTATTTAGGGTAGAGCATAAGAGAGAAAGAGAGTATTAATTGGGGTGCCCTGAAACTGTGAAATTAGCCTCGTATTTATAGAAGAAATGTGAGGGGTGCAATCCAAAACCCTAGAAATGAGGCGCTGCAGAAGAATGAAGCACCATGGCACGGCATATGTGCCGTGGCACGGTATAAACTGGAAGACTACTGTGGCACTGCATGTGTACCGTGGCATGGTAGTTGTACCGTAGCACATCAGTCAATTCTATCATTTCTGAAGGTTAAACGCGTAAAAAGATAAAATCGGGTTAACAGCATTACTGTGGCACGGCGGTTGGCTTTTCTGAAAACTGTTTTAAAATTCGTTTTTATCTAATTTTCTTTAAAAGCACGTGATAATTATGCGTAGTTTTAGCTATTTCGGACTCATTTTAGGTTTAGGGTTTTATAATATTTATTAATCGGGCTCAATTAATAAATAAATGAAATGGATTAAAATGGTTTTGGGCTGTAATGAGAATTGAAAAAGGCTTGACTAAATACTTTGACTGAAAATGTGGACTGATTTGTAAACTGTGTTTGATTGAAAAAGGATTTTAAGCACTCTCGTGATTAAATACTCGACCCGATCAATAATGGCAGTGAAAGGTTGTTTATCATCGGGTTTGGTTTTGGGGAACATTTTTAGATGTCTACAGAAGCCCCCACTTTGACTGAGTTTGTAGAAACGTAACTTTCAAAAATGATAGTTAAAGTAGTCGATTAGGACGGAGATTTATTTAAGACGTTCTGCGATCCTGAATCACTCTGTATACGCCGATACCTGCAGAAAAGTGTTAGTTCCACAGATAAAAGAGTAAAGGATAGAAATGTATCTGTCACTAGTGCGTCGGCACCAAATACGTTTGGTAGCTTTCTATGCCTCGAGAAATCCACCGGATATCAAATGATAGTCTTCCGCGCCTCGGTAATCCTATCGTGAATCACTGCGCCTCGAGCGATTCACTAAATAAAAAGAGGTGACAAGTCTCCGAGCCTCGGGAAACATGTCGTAGACTCCTGCGCCTCGAGCAGCCTACTGATTGATGATCTTCTGTGCCTCAGGAAGAATGATGAATGATAGTATTCGGCGCCTCGGAAATCCTATCATGAACTCCTATGCCTCGAGTAGCTCATAAGTGAAATTCCGCGCCTCAGGAATTACATTAAAAAATGGTGTCCATGCCTCGAGACATGATTGAAGACCTCTGCACCTCGAGAAGTATGCAATGATTGGCCATAATGTGAATAGTAACCGTCAGCGCCTCGAGATGATCACTAGGTATTGATAAATGTGCCTTCGATTTCCTCCGAAGAGAAGGGATGTTCGATTGTCTTCGAGCAGAAGTTATGGATGATGATAATAGCGCCTTCAAGTCATGTACATCTGACTGTATAGGCGTTGGTGATGATGATGAAATGTCGATTGTTGCACCTTCAAGTCATGTGTATCTGACTGTATAGGTGTTGCTCGATACCTTCAAGCCATGTGCATCTGACTGTATAGGTATTGGTAGAGAAGAGGGTACGACATTGTTCGATTGTTTCATGTGTATCTGACTGTATAGGTGTTGCTCGATACCTTCAAGCCATGTGCATCTGACTGTATAGGTATTGGTGGAGAAGAGGGTACGACATTGTTTGATTGTCCGCGAATAGAGGCTGTTTATATGTTTGCTCGATTGTCCCCGAACAGAGGTTGTTTGCTCGATTGTCCCCAAACAGAGGTTGTTTGCTCGATTGTCCCCGAATAGAGGCTGATAATATGATTGCTCGATTGTCCCCAAAAAGAAGCTGAAGATATGATTGTTCGATTGTCCCCGAATAGAGGCTAATGTGATTGTTCAATTGTCCCCGAACAGAGGTTGTACCTGAGACCTGAAAAATGGAATTTGCCAAAGGACTCGTATAGACAATGATTGACTCAAGACTGAACCAACTTACTCGACCAAGCTTGACTTGACTTGACATGACATGACATGACATGTGTATGACTTGTGATTGTGTATGTATGTGAATTAAGTGTGTGCTGCAGACACGATCATCTGAAAATGCAAAAAAACTTTCCGTCATTATTTTGTCATGAGTGGAGGGTATCGACTTTCTCCCGAAAAAGAAAGACGTGAAAAATGAAGGTTGAAAACGATTTCAAACTTCCCTTAATGAAAATAATTTTGAAATTTTTTTTAAACTTCCCGAAAAGAAAAAATTTTAGAAAAACTTTTGAACTTCCCAAAAGAAAAAATGAGAAAAATCGGGAAGAAGTTTTGAGCTTCCTCGTCGAGTATGATAGAGCGAAGCGAAGTGTATGGATTTTCTTCTTGTCGAATTGAATCACTTGTCTTGAATATAATGTATGCATGATGAATGTTCTTAGGCCAGGAGGCTTAGTTTATTGTCGATGTATGCTGCTTAGGTCAGGAATCTAAGCATCATATATAGCGTATGAAAAAACGAATCTTGATGAACGTTGCTTAGGTCTGGAAGCTAAGCACGGATGTAATGTATGCAACAATGAATCTTGCTTAGGTCTGGAAGCTAAGCACGGATGTAATGTATGCAACAATGAATATTGGTGAATGTTGCTTAGGTCAGGAAGCTAAGCAAATATACAATGATGATTTTTGAATGTTGTCTTGAAAGATGATGAAGCATGCACGTTGATGAAACAAGATTTCATGATAAGGGATTCTTAAGGGAAGGATGATTTGGCCATGTATGTGTGAATGAAGTGTGTGACAGTGATACTAAAGTTAGGCTGCAAAGGTTGTGGTTGCGGAAAATCGATGTGAGAAGAGTCAAGATGGTGAGTCTTTAGGCTAGGTAAGCTAAATAATGGGTTCAAGCCCTCAAGTCTAGCTCTTGATGGATTGGGATGAGTATTGGAGATTCTTTGACTTGATCATGCATGAATATGAATATGAATATGATGTGGCCGGACCTCAATGTGAGTTGCCTACGTATCCGTTAGGAATCAGGCCGAACGTAGCTCTAGCCGAACTTTTCACAAGTGTATGTACACCTCAAAGAGTTCTTTTGAGGGTTGTAATGTGGTTAAGGTGGTGGTTAAAGAAGAAAGGGTAAAAGGCTCAAGACCCTAGATAAGCCCCCCAAGATATGCAATTGCGTTTTAAAATTTGGATTTTGCAAGTTTATCTATATATTTTTTCACATTTTTTTCTTTTTCATTCTTTTGAATCAATGTAGGCAATCTCAAGATCATGCGGTCCACCACTCACTTGGCATTCATGTTTTTGAGGCACGGTACCGAGCACTCGATGAGAGACGCAAATCGAGACGTGTTCATATCAACGACATTGGAACACTTGCCCTTAGCCATCGTTTTATTTTTATTTTCAGCTTTTTCTTTTCTTTTGAACTTGCTTTTGAAAATTATACGAATATGGAAAAGGTGAACAAAACACATAAAACATATATCAACTCAGAATGGAAAAACCTATGCTAGACATGAATAGGGAAAAACGGGAAAGAAGTTGTTTGCATCAACCAAATCTTAAACATCATCTTTCATATTCCAGCACTATTCAGTAGAGTGGCCCCTTCCTTGGTGGAACTTGTAGTGAGCATCAGGGTTCCATTTGGCACTCCTTTCTTCAGGTTTTGGCTCAAGGAATGGTCCAATAGGTGTAATCAAGCCTTGACCGTAAAGGCGATCAAAGGTGACACTAGTAGATAAAACATCATTTGTAACTAACAAAAATAGGCCTTTTGTAACCAACATTGTTCGTTACCTATACAGTGGTTACAAATACTATTAGGCTTTTGTAACCAACATTGTCGGTTACAAATAGTCGGGTATTTGTAATCAACTTTTAAAATGTTAGCTACAAATAGTTGGGTATTTGTAACGAACTTGAAAAATATCGGTTACAAGTACCCCATTATATTGTCTTACTTGACAATTTTTTGTAACTAACATTTTAAAATGTTCGTTACAATTAAGCTTATATTTGTAACCATCGTCTTAGTTGTCCGTTACGATTGTGTATGATTCGTAACTAACATATTTATTGTCAGTTACAATTAGACTTTTTTTTCTTTTT